TTTGTGAATAACTATATATATATATATATATATATATATATATATATATATATATATATATATATATATGAACTGGTATCAAATACAGATTAAATATGAATCACAATTTGACAGAAGGATAGGATAAAGAACAAATAAGAAACATTTATGAATCTAACATGTTTCACTTTTATTAAAGCTTCACCGGAGTATAAGATATGGAGAAAAAAGAAGAAAGACATATTTTTATTTTTGTAATGTTTGATTTTCATTGGTTAATCCGGCTTCATGTGCATTTGACTTGTTTAATCAATATTAGTATAATTTATGGTGTTCTGAATTTAAGGAGTGATGATGTGTCTTTTCAAAGCCCCAAGAAATTAATGGTTATCAAGCCTAACAAGAAAAAAATGTAAATATTAATTTATGTATTTAAGTGCATCATAATTCTAATTTGTTTATTCAAATTCCATCATATATATATATATATATATATATATATATATATATATATATATATATATATATATATATATATAGGCACATGGCAAAGTGGTTAGAATGTTTGCATTCTGACCATGAGACTTGGGTTCAACTCTCACCATGGTGGATTTGTCAGGAAAGAGACTTACAGATGTTATTTGACTTGAGGGGTCAATCCCAGCGTGCAAGATCTTTGCAAAGTGACTGAAAAGCATGCCACAAGTTGACCCAAACTTTGTGAGTGAAATTGGGTAGATGGAACATCAATAGCTGTGCTAGCACAAAGTCACAAGTCATTGTCACTGAGGACTTGAGCGTGCTGGCTTTATTCACATTTTTGATCACGCAAGATAACATGCTCATTCCCAGAAACTGTGACTAAGGTCTGCTCAGCATACTTACAGTATAAACCATGGAGCAGGCTTCTGCAATAGAGATTGGCTAGCTGCCCTATTAGACAGGTTTCCTCAATTATAAGTGGCCAGTTATATATATCTATATATATATATATATATATATATATATATATAGTTTTAAGGTGTGCTATATTTATAGGATAAAGTGCTCGATATCAGAGATAGAGTGCATGTAAATATAAATATAAAAGTGAACATTGAAGTCAACACTCAGAGGCAACAGGTTATTTCATGTTAGATGCAATTGTTAGGCAGCCTGATGATTACATCTAGGTAGGTATTGTGCTGTTTTCCTCTACCCCTCTTGCCTTCAATATACCCAGTGAGATTCAAATTTTCTTGGCCTCCTTTGCTCATTAAGTGCCCTAAAAATTTCAACTTTCTCTTTCTGATGTTAAGTATGTGTCTTTTTTGTTTCCATTTTCTCTAAAATTATGTCATTGCTCACCTGTTCAGTCCATGATATTCTCAGCATCCTTCTGTAGAACCATATTTTTGTTGTCCCAAGTCTCTTCCTCATCTGTGAAAAGATTGTCCAGCATTCACTACCATATAGGAAGATTGATATAAAAGAGATAATGATCTACCTTGAAAAAGAGTTTGTGTTTTGTGTGCAACCTGCCAAAGAAAAATTACCAAAAGTTGTTAGCAAAAACCTGCTACTTTAAGTATCAGAATCTGTGCTAATGTTCTTTCCTCTCCTGAATAGTGTGGCCAGTCAGAAAAATCTCTTGGTAAATAAAAACCGTTCTTTTTCATTTACAAGGGTAGAATTTTTCTGAGCTTAGTGGGCAAACATGCACTTGAAAGGTGAGAAGTGAAGGTTGAATTTGTGACTACATTTTGTTGTTTCTATGTTGCCTGTTGGACTGTTACACTGGACTATCATTTGAACTGATATTTGGCTACAAGCGTTGCAAATGAGAAACAGAAGAAACCTATTGCAGGCATTTTTTGCTACTATAAGTTTACTGTTTTTTCTTTACTACAACAATGGCATAACATCTAAGTATTATTTTCTTTGTTTCTAACAAGATTTTCCTGTTTCTTAATACTTTACTTAACTTTAAGATGCCATCTTTTGCTATCCCAATGCATCTTCAGATTACCATTTTGCATTTTCCATTTTCTATTAAACTTTCTAGATATTTATAATTATGTACTTGCTGGATTTTAGCATCTCCAACTTATAATTCACATCTTGGGTTCTTCTTTTTATTGACAGCCATACCTTCTATCTTCTTACAATTGATGTTTTGTCCTTTCTTCTCACTTTCATTTACTACATTCTGCAGGAGTTCTTGTAATCTCCCTTTCAATATCTTCTATTAACACAGTATTGCTGTTAAGAATGTGGTTGCCAGTAATGAATTCTTGTAGGAATTCTAATTCTCTCAGAATTGCCTCACTGTATAGATTGAATAAATCCGGTGAGAAGACACACCCTTGCCTTACACTGCTTTCTATTTTTGTATATTTACTGAATTCTTTTTCTGTTCATATGCAGGTAATTTGCTACAAGTATAAGTTCTGGATTATACTAATAGCCTTTCCAAATATGTCATGGTTACCTAACAGTTCCTTGTGAGGTACTTTAGTAGGAGTTTAATTAAAATGCTTAAGATAAGTTACTAATTATTAAATTCAGAGGGTACCCACAACTTTTGGCCTATAGTATATATACATATATATATATATTTAGACACAGTAATTTTCCTTTCAGTATCTTCTATTAACACAGTATTGCTGTTAAGATTATGGTTGACAGTAATGAATACTGGTTAGAATTCTAATTCTCTCAGAGTTGCCTCACTGTATAGATTGAATAAATCCGGTGAGAAGACACATCCTTGCCTTACACTGCTTTCTATTTTTGTATATTTACTGAATTCATTTTCTGTCCATATGAAGGCAGTTTGCTCCCAGTATAAGTTCTGGATTATTCTAATGTCCTTCCAGTACAATGCAGAAGGGGGGGGTGCAGAGGGTATGATGGCCCCAGGCATACATATCAGGAGGGCATCCAATCAAAGAGTGAAATAAAAATTTAGGTTATGAAATTATAAATTTTCTTTGTTAACTTAATTGTACAAATGCCCTACAGTCACACAAGTTGGGGTAAATGTGGATCTGGAGTAGGCCTCTCATAAAATCAACAAGTTGGCCCCTGGCACCACAAAACCTCTGCATGTCACCATGTTCTTCTGAAATATATCAAGCTTACCTAATAGTTCCAATAATTCTTTGTGATGTATTTTATCAAATGATTTTGTATATCTGAATAAATTTACCTTCTATTTGTCCTGATATCCTCTCTGTCAAAAATGTAATTACTTTCTGAACACCCTAATATATATATATATATATATATTACTGTTTAAGCCTTTTTATTATATATATATATATATATATACAGACACACATAAGAAGGCACTAAAATACTCTCTATCTTACTCACTTCCCAAAATTCCTATTATGATATTTGATCATTGAAATACTAATTAAGGGAAGTGAGGCTGAGAGCTTTTCAGCACTACTCTTACATATTTTAAAACATTACATATTCCATTGCGAAGCAAATCAGCAGTATAATTTTGTTTCTTAATCAAATATTGATTATTGAAGTGTACAATTTTAAGATTTTCTTTTGTTTTCTGATATTGTAAACTTATCTTGTGAAAAAGAGTATTCATATACATAATTAAACCTCCACAAGGTTGAAAATGAGGGTAATAGATTTGCTGTTACAGCCTGGGAAGGTACTGATAGTTAGGGATGTGATTTTTGCTCAAGTGCTTACTTGCTTTCTTTCATTTTTGTCAGTTTTGAAGGCATCCATTAATCAGACATAGAATTTAATTCATGCATTTCTCCAAAGGCATCTCTTTGAAAGAATACAAATAGGCTACATAATAATAATACAATTCATATATATATATATATATATATTCTTGTAAAAGATATGGAATTAAAATATATAGGTATATAGCCTAATTTTTTAACACCAAAATCTTGTAAGGGTTTCAGTAAGTTTAAATTTTCTTTCAGCCTTTGAATGTTTTGATTTATTTGAATTTTAAAACTTTGTTTTATAAAACAAATTTCTGATGCAGTTATGATGTAAACTTATTTGCAATTTTTTTGTCTCTTTGTTATGTCAGTCAGTTATGTGCCATCTGTGATACATACTTAAGTGATCTTATATCTTTTGATACATGACTGACGAGGCAGATTTTTCCTGCAGTAGGCTGTCATTTGTTTTTGTGGTAGGCCAGTTGCCATCTAAGGCTATAGAACCCAGTCTGTCCTGCTATTTACCCATAACTGGGGGCAGAAGAAGAGGATTCCTTTCCCAAGTGTAAGTGAATTTAATGGATGTGAATGGAGTTCAAATTCAGCCCTCCGATTCGTCAATCCAAGCCACTATTCATTACTCCACCGTGCCTCCTAAATTTTAAGATTTTGTTTTATAAAACAAATTTCTGTTGCAGTTATGATATGAACTTATTTGCAATTTTTTGTCTCTCTGTTATGTAAGTTTATTTAATCTTATATGATTTGTTTATGCTTTGTAATTGATTCTTAAGAAATAAAGCAAAATAAGGGAAGAATATATGAAAAAGATAGCAAAATTATCTCTCATTTCAGCTGAATTTTTTTAATTATTTCATTCTAAGCAAGGTAATGAAGCCACTAAGATATAAGTGATTACTGAGTGTGAAGAATAATATGAGAAAAAGAAAACGTTATTAAGGAGAGAGAACAATAAAAAAACAGGAATTAAGAAGACAGAATATAACGATTAACATTGCATTTAAATTTTTGAAGATCAAAGTTGACTAGGAAGCAAGAAGCTGGAAGAGAGTTCCACAAGCGACAGTGTTTTTTTAAAAGTTATCATATAATATTTTTTTTTTATTTTTCAGGGTCTGAAGTGTAACATAATTAAATAATCTTTTTTTTTCTTATATTCAAAGTGGGAAAAAATAAATATTTGAAACTCGACTGAAGTGGGGGGAGGCTTTTCTATGTGTTCTTTTTTAAACTCGTCCTGATCTCTCCACTTCAATTTGTTTAATGGGCAAGAAATGTTTAATCTTGAATTTGAATGAGACTTGAATGATGGATCGGATGTCAACAAATTATTTTATTCCCATTTCAATAAAATCAATTCCCATTTGTCACATAGTTCATGTATTCATTTATCTACTCCACCCTTTCTCTCCTCCTTATAATTCTATTGTGCCCCCTTATTCTCTTCCATCTCCTGTTCCCCCAAATCTTATGCCTCCTACTTTTTCTTCTCTTCTTTTCCCCATTTGCATTCTACGTTTTTCTTTTATAGCAGCAACTCTTTTAAATCCTGGTTTTTCTCACTCTTTTGTACTCTGATGATATGTGCTTCCTTTTTATTTCTCTATCTCCTTCTCCTGATTCTTCACCTTCTTCTGTACATTTTAAACACTTTCCTCTTCCCCTCTTTCTATCATTCCACTACTCTCTAATTTATAATTTAATTCTCCCTCTTTATCCTTCTTAAGATCTTTCTATAATGTGAACATTTTCTCAAAAGTGTTGAACTGCCATGTAATATCAATCCTCTTATATGGCAGTGAGTGCTGAACAACTTCCTCACAGAAGAAGAAGAAACTTTAGACAACAGAGATGTGGTTCTACAGAAGGATGTTGAGAATACCATGGTTGGATCATGCAAGCAGTGAGGAGGTCTTAAGGACAATGAAAACAAAAATGATGATTATACTTAGAATCAGAAAGAGATTGACAATTCTTGGTCACATAATAGAAAAAGAGGGATTGGAGAATTTCACACTCACAAAACATATCCTAGTCAAGAGTGACAACGGGAGACAATGAGTAACTTACCTAACAAGCTTGTTTAAATGGATGACAGGGAAGGGAGTGAGAGTAAAAAAGAAAAACATTACTAAGATCTACAAAGGATGTGAAGTAGTGGAGAGCCATGATTGCCAACCACCTGAAGTGACATGGTGCATAGAAGAAGAGGAAGAAGACTCCTTTTAGAATACCATTCTTTGTCTCCTCTTCAACCTCCCCATCTTTTGCATTTTTTTCTGTTTCTCATCTAAATCTTTTCTATTTCTACTACACCTTTTCTCCTTATACTCTTCATTAAATTTTTTCTTCTTCTCTCACATTTTCCCTATCTGGCAGCAAGTTCTCTGATCAAGAGGTTTTGAGGAGTATGCAACCCCTCTTAATTGCTGGTGTTTCCAGGTGCTACGATCTTGGGTCGGGGTGGACCTGGGAACACCAGCAATTAAGGGGACACCAGGTCCACCCTGACGCAGGGTGGTAGCACCTGTTAGGGCCCTAGCTATAGGCAAATAGTTAATAAATAGACATTTTGGGAAGTGAGTAAGATAGAGAGTATTTTAGTGCCTTTTCTCCTTATACTCTTCATTAAATTTTTTCTTCTTCTCTCACATTTTCCCTATCTTTAAAAATACCGTGATGATAAACTACATCCACATCCTGAGTATGATGATAAACTACATCTGGCAGCAAGTTCTCTGATCAAGAGGTTTTGAGGAGTATGTAACCCATCTTAATTGCTGGTGTTTCCAGGTGCTACGATCTTGGGTCGGGGTGGACCTGGGAACACCAGCAATTAAGGGGACACCAGTTCCACCCTGATGCAGGGTGGTAGCACCTGTTAGGGCCCTAGCTATAGGCAAATAGTTAACCCCCAAACTGGGGTCAAAACACTATTAAAATGTAAAGATGTTTTAATACTAGCAATATATTTTTGAAAAAATTATCATAAGCAATACATTATTACCAGCAATACATTAAAAAAAATATTACTATCAATACATTTTGAAAAAGAAAAAATTATTACCAGCAATATATTTTTGAAAAAAAAAAAAATTACCAGGAATAAAAATCTTGTTGACATTAAATAACCCATTGCGGTTGATGTGCTGTAAAACAAACCAAACCATAAAAACTGACTTACCTATCCAGTGGGCGTGTGGCCAAGTGGCTAGAATTTTAGTGCTTCAATCATGAGATCCAAGTTTGAATTTCATCATAGTCAATTTGTCAAGGAGGTGACTTCCTGATAATATTGACCTGCAGAGTTGATTCCATCATGCTGAAGTATTGGAAAGTGCCTGAAAATCATACCATGAGTTGAGTGAAAATGGGTAGAAGCTGTTGATGGCTGTGTTAGCACAATGTCATGTCCTGGTGACAGATGATTTCAGTGGAATGGTATTGTTTAACCACTCAGATTATGCACTCTCTTCCAGAAACTGTAACTAAGGTCTGCTCAGCATAATGGTGGTATTTGCTTTGAGGTTGTTGTTAAACACAAAAATGTGCCTGACTAGGTGTCTGCACCAGGGATTAGCTAACCATCTAAGGAGACAGACATAATCAGAAAATGAACAGCCAGCCTGCCATTATTTATATCTACCCATCTTCTCAGCTGTTAACAGAATTATTTACCACCTTTGAAGAAAAAGAATACTGAGCTGTTACGTGACATCTGTCCTTCTTTATAACAGCGAATGTTGGATGATTTCCTCAAAGATGAAGAAGAGACTCAAGGTGACAGATGTGGTTCTACAGAAGGATGCTAAGGATATCATCGACCAAGCATATGAGCAACGAGTAGGTCTTAGAGAGGTTGCAAACAAGGAGGAAGCTTATACTTAACATCAGGAAGAAGCAGCTGAAGTTTCTGGGACACATGATGAGAAAGGAGGGCCTGGAGAATCTGATACTCATGAGTTGAATAGAGGGAAAGGGAGATGAGGGAAAACAATGTATGACATAGCTAGTGGCCTTAAGCAAGTGGGTGACAGAATGTGATCTGGGAGAGGTGGCAGAGAGAAGAAACTTTTTGAGAGCTGCAAGGGATAAAGGGAGGTGGAGAGCTATGTTTACCTATGTTCTGAAATGACATGACACATAGAAAGAAAGAATATATATGTTTTGTGTATACAACATATCCACAAAATAAACCTTGCTACCAACTGATCCATTAATGTTTTGGATCTGCTAACAGTTCATTATTCCTGCTGATTTCTTTTCTCTGCAAAAATTGACAAGCTTTATCAATCTCAAGCCATTCTCCTATTTTATTCTAATCCTTTTTTAATCTTTTTTAAATGCCATATACCTACAGGATTTTGATGATCCTCACTACAGATTATTTTTTCTTTAATACCTGTAAATTGCCATGACATCTTGGAAAAAATAGTGGAGTGGTTTCCTAATATGTTTTGAATTCCAAGTAGTCTTTAACCTAGACTGGCTGCTAGGGAGCCCAATCTTCTCTATTTTGTCCTATAGGTGTGGCAGAATATATTTGCACCGTTTCCAAGAGTATCAGTGTGAAAGTGAATGCAATATACTAGGCTGGGATTTGAACTCAGCTTTCTGATTCCACTTTCTGTGCTGTTAACCACTGCACTAACTGCACATCCTCATTTACTACTAACTCTTTATAAATACCCATGCATCTCATCTTGGTATAATGGTCAGCAATCTGGACATTAGCAGTGAGAGTCATCTTCACAAGGTGTACCAATCTTGGAGTAAAAGCAAGCTGCACTTAGTAAATAACAACTCTGAATGAGCACTGTTATCAACAATAAAAAAACACTAGTTATCCATAACTCTGTGAATACCAGCAAAAACAGCTCTGTTAATCATCTGAGAGAACCCTTCTCTGCCTTCCATCAGCAACCTCCAGGAGAACTTTTTTGGCTGACATAAAGTCGAAAGACTATACTGAATCCATTTCTAGGTTTGCTGATAAGAAAGTTGGGTCACTGTGTTGTGCTAGACAATTTTTCTCTCCAGAACTGGCTAGATATAACTATAAGTTCTATGCTAACACTTCTTGCTTGTAGAACTCTCTTCCAGTTAACTTTGATCTTCAAAAATTCAAATACAATGTTAATTACTATCTACTGTCTCCCTTATTGTTTCTTCTTCTATTGTTCTCGCTCATTAGTAATATTTCTCTTTTCTAATTCTTTCCCACCCAGTAACCTCTTCTTTCTTAGTGGCTTTACTGCCTTACTTGGGGTGAATTTGATTTAAAAAGGCCAAAAACTATTCTCTCTTTGGAATAGTCTTTTTAATTGAGATGATTGTATCCCACTTTGGTACCTAAGCAAATTCCCATTTTTATAATTGATTCCAGATCTTTGCTCACAATGCAAGATGTGTTGAATGAAATAAGATCCAAAGAGGATTTAATTTGACCAGTTTCATTTCATATAACTCTCTCTAAAATTAGTTCAGAAAATATTAACTTCCTATCTGTTAAACTGAAATTTCCTTCACAGATTTATCCAGTAATTTTGTTTGGATGCTGTTTTTATATTATTGTTGGTTTTTCTCTTTAAATTAAATTGTCAAAAAATAAGTATGTATTTAGGTTAATCTAAAATTCTTGGGTGATCAAGCCTGAGGAATTGAGTTAGTCAACAGAAAATTCAAGGTCAGTTTTTAGATTCAAGAAGGAAATACAAGTTCTTGTGGCAGTTTTCAGTTTTAGATTGCCTTCTTTTAGATTTATAATAAGGAGTTAATTGAGTTTTGAGGAGAGACTTCTTTTTTTCTTCTTCTTATATATGATTTGTCACTTCAGGATGTGAGTGGTTATGGCTCTCCTCAACTTCTTATCCTTTTTAGCTCTTAGTAAGTGTTTTCACTATCCCACCAGCTTCTTGTTTGGAAATCCATTTACACAAACTCATTAGCTATGATACTGGCTGTTTCCCTCTGTCTCTTAATATTTCCTGTGTGAATCAAATTCTTCAAGGAATCCTTTCTCATTATATGTCTTAGAAATTTATATGTTCTCTCTTTGATTCTGGGACACAGAATTAAAATATTAACTGATATGCAAAGTTTAAATTAAACCGAGATTTTTTTTAGTTCATAGTTCTTGTCTCATTGAAATGATACAAATTTCTCTGTCCACTGAAGAAGCTTCTCCCAAACAAAAAACAACTGGCAATTAGTCATTTAATCAGACTTTGGGAAATGGGTCAAGCCAAGAACTTTTCAGCACCTACTTCATAATCCAGCTGAACAAGAGACAGTAAAATAACTTCTGAGAACATGAACATTTAAACTTAATCAAGACTTGGCAAAAGGCAGATTTAACTTCTCATAGATTCCTGGCCATTTAGTACAATGGGGTAGACTGAGCACAATAGCCACCTACACAGCCAATACGGTGATGAGATGGCCTTGATTCACAGAGTGATTCCTAAAGTTAACAGTCAAGGCAAATGCTTCCCCTAATTAAATCAATGACTATATGTCCATGACCAAGCAGAGGATATTGGCTGAGGTTTGATCTTGAGAAGTATGTGCTCAATTAGGTCTACTTGAACAAGATATACGGTGCATGAATACGTCTCTTACTTTCAACCCTCCTTGGGTTTGAATTCAGAGCTTTCCTTCTCCTAAACTGGCTGTCACTGAAGGACAGGAGGATCCAATTTGTCCTGCTATTTAACCTAAAAGAGGAGAAAAATGGATTCAGGCTTTTTTTTTTTCAAAGGAATGAAACAGAATCAGCTGGAATTTGAACTCAGGTTACTGATTCCATTTTCTGTGCTAGCCATAACACTAAATATACATTGATATATATATAAAAATATGATTTCATCTGCGAGGGAATCATATTTTTAAATTTAAAATTTAAATAAATAATTATATTTAGGCTCTACTTTTGTATTGAGCACTGTTTTTTAAAAATAATAACAAAATACTAAAGAATTTTGGATTATATACCTAACGAGTTCTTTCCTATTTTCTATATATTTTCATATATGTGTGTGTGTGTGTGGGGGGGGGGGTAATTCTCTATATACAATGTGTAAAAGCACATGCAATACCCTGCCCTCGTCAGCAACCAACCAAGGGAGGTAAGACTGTTTCAGTGGCTAAGGTGGTACTGGCACCCCTGGTGCCACCAGCAGCTTTTGCCACCAGACAGGGTATTGTTTTTGTATACATGTCAGTTTCTTGCCATTTTTTTTTTTTACAACTGCAACTGATATTTTCAATGTTGTGTTAAAATACACAATGCGCTCCTAGTGATCGTTATCAATGATGTAGAATGGAAGGTAAACAGATGTGTTTCATGTCGGAAGTATCATTGTTATTTAACTTTATTTGTTTTGGATCTTGACCAGATCCAATTTGATGAGCTCTGGTCTGTAGACGATGCAATGCACGCTTTAGGTTCTGGTCATTAATGCCCACCTTCAAAAGGATGGAAATGATAGCCTGCCCAAGGAATCCACATCACCTAACTCCAATAGGTAGCACATGACCATCCCCCTTTCCATGCAGTTGAACTGCAGCAGATTGTAGCAGTTTTTTTCCCCTCATGTGCTTCCTCTCTGTTCTCCTCCTATGTTACCATTAATTACACACGCATATATATATATATATATATATATATATATATATATATATATATATATACCAAAGATGACCCAGTACAAAACTCAGAAGCCACACAAGTTAGAGGTTCACTGAATGAGGTGTGTGATATTATTGTACTAGTTTTTGATAAGAAGTGAAATTATGAGGATAAATAATGACTGACGCTTGTCTTGAAGAGTTTAAACTTGTAGTGCTCAGGAAAGCATCCTCAAAGTAGCAGTTCCTAGGAAAAAGCTGTTTGAGTGGAACTTCCTCCTTACAAATGGAGTATAGAGGAAATGCGGATGAGTTGTCTTCATGGATGTAGTATGTATCTAGTTATAAACACTGATTGGAATTTGTTTCTGCACACATACATGTTCATGTCTGTTGATGATGATTATTACATTTTGCAGAAGAAGAACCTCTCTTCATTTGGAAGCCATTTTTTGTGTGTGTTTCATTCAAAATTTTATATTTTCAATGTCTGTAAATATATACCTCTTTAATGATATACAAGTGATGCTGAGCAGTTCTCAGCCCAACCAAGAAGTTATTTCTGCCAGTTGGTCATGAGGTCTAGTTTTGGAAATGGGGTTTGATTAAGAACTTCTCAGTTCCACTTTGCAATTTTGGTAGCATATTAAGGTTATGGTTAAATTGTTCTGAAAGCAGCAGGTCTCATTTGATATGTGAAGTTAAGCAGCATTGAGTCCTGTTAGTATTTACATGGGTAACTGCTTGAGAACGCTTGGTTCAGTAAGGAATAGGAAAGTACAACCTGACAAAAAATGCTACCTTTGGAATGGTTGGAGGTAGTAAAGATAGTGGTTTGTACAATAACGGAGTGTTGTTTCAAATTACATCTTACGTCAGTTTGAAGGGGATAGTCACTGTCAACAACAAGGAGATACCATCTCTAAAAGTAACATACTGAAACAATTACTAAGAACTGCAACCACTAATGTTATCATGTAAACTTGGGATTGAACTGAAAAATGTTATGATTAATATGGATCTCATCATGTTTGTTAAAGAACAATTCTAGGAGCAGTATATATATATATATATACATCTATATATATATATATATATATATATATATATTTACAGCCTCTTTCTCTTTACTTCCCCCTTCTTTCTTTTTCCTTTTTCCTTTTCTTTTCTCTCTTCTCCCCTCCCATTTCAATATATCACTTCCGTTAAGTTAACCATTTAAATAGGTCATGGTCTAGTCACTCCTCCTCTCCCAATACTAAGTATGATTGAGAGAAATATTAAATTAAACCCTCTCTAAACTCTACCATGTCTCTCTAACCACTCTTTATTAAACTCTCTATTAAATTACAAAAACTTACACTACCCATCAATTTTCATTTCGTTTTTTGTTTCATCTTTTGGAAGTGCTATCTGATGATCCGGTGTCCTTTAAAAGGGCTCTGGTGAAATAAGTTATTATAATGGAACCTTAAAGTGGTCTGTTTTTCTTTAATATATATATATATATATATATATATATATATATATATATATATATATAGGAACAAGACTTGCCATAAGTTTGATTTTACAAATGCCTCTGTTGGAATCTATCAATTAAGGAACAAGGCTACGATGCAAGTTACAACAGTAATAATATTTATTGTCATTAGAAAAGCTAATACAGACATTGTCTTTTCTACATAGAATAATTAGTATCCACTTCTTCAGAACTGGTTTGTGGTTCCCTTTGTCTGGAGTTCATCCTTCAGCCTTGGAGCAGGCCCCAGATCCTTGTTAGAGAATCTGTCCTAGATGCTAGTCCCTGTCTCTCTGATCCTCAATAGCTGTCACATGGTTTTCTACCCCTATGTAGGTGGAGACAACCTTTTTCACTCACCCAACACAATACTAATTGAAAAAAAAACATAATTCTTTACATTGAAAATACTTAGAGGGAGTTCTGATAAAAATGTTACCAACTATAAATACACGTCAAAAGCACTATATTACATCACCAAGCTTTATTAAATTCATTCCTAAAGAATCTAACATATATTTAACTACTACTACTACATGATCGGTGTTGACTTTAAAAACATCCCCAAATCAACATGAAGAGAAAACCTCCAAACATAAATAATGCATACAATATTTTTGTCAGTGGGCAATTTTCTTTTCTTTCGGAATGGCCTGGGATCCATAGTATTGGGTATGGACATTCATTTAATAGTAATCCTTTCATTCTGTAGTAGACAGACTTTACTGTCTTTTTTATTCTGATGGGCAGTCCATTTAGAGTCAGAGCAATTCACTCACTGATGTCCATCTGCTCTGGTCAGACAGGAAACTGCCTCTTTTTTAAAAATTTTTACTGTCCGCAAAGATCATTACAGGGGTATCCCTTCATTTTTGACTAGGTATGCAGGAGCATGTGATGCAAATCACAATGTGTTTTTGCGATGGCCAAAGATCGAAGCAACCCTCAATAAGGCCTGATCACATGATCGCAGCAAGAAAGCGTGATGGTGCCTGGAGTTAACTTATGATCAATCGCCTGATGACCGAATAATTTTGGAACCAGGTCATTCTCGGGTTGGATCACTTCAGAGTTCGTGAGCCCTCGGCTTGAGGGTGGAAGAGAAAGAAAGACAGAAAGAATCAGAAGAGAAAAGGAGGGGAAGGCTGGTTATAGAACATATTCACTTGCAAGTTGAAAACATTGTATTTTATTTATTTTTATTTTTTTATTTATATTTACCTATTTTTCGAACTAGAATTTGGGATTGCAGGGTGGGGGGCTTTTAGCTTTACGCCTATAAGGCTAATGAAATCATAGGTAGGTCACTATATATATATATATATATATATACATTTCCAAGTATGTATATGTATATTTCCATGTATATGTACTGCCAAGTCAAATTCTCATTCTTTACAATCAGCTTCATGGAGATAACTTTTTTTTCAAAAAGTCATTTCATTTTTTTTTTTCTCTTATCGCTTTATATAATATAGAAATTTAAAAAAAGGAATAATAATTGTTTAAAATGATTAAAATAAAATAAAATGAAAACATTGAAATTCAAATACTGTGTAATTGATTTGAAATTAATTCTTTATCTTTCTTCTGATTAGGTGATGTAAAAATTTTCAAAGGTCATTCCATCAATTTTCCAACTGCCTTCCCCATCATTCAGACTGAATAATTTCTGTAAGTCAAGAATGATTCCCTTGCCACAATTTAAAGGAGAAAATAAAATTTATATTTTCTAAAACTAATTAATCAGATTCTCTAGGGAATGATACATTAAGAATTTTCAGATGCTGTGTGGCATGCAAAAATGTTTCTTTTTCTTTTTTTTTTGTTGTTGTTGGTGTTTAAATTGGATCTGTGTGGTCACTGAGTGAAACAAAAATTAATTTTTTAAAAGTATTTTACCATTTCCATAGATTTGCATATCAATATTTCTCATTCTTCATTAATGTTTAATTTCTTTCTCTTCCTTTTCATTAATTTCCCACCCCTTTCTTGCTATTTCTATCTTTCTGTTTCTCCTTTTATTTTGCTTCTCTTTCTCTCTCCCTTCTCTCTATGTATGTTTATCTTCATGTTTTTCTCAAAGTTTTAACACCTTTTCGTCTCCTATATTTGTTTCTAGTTTTCTGTTTCTTGTTTTTATCACTTTTTATTCCTTTATTTTAGTTCATTTATGTTTCAGTTTTTCCTTACCTCTCACTTTCTTATTTCCCCTCTTTTTATATCCTCATGAATATCGACTTTCACTCTCTCACTCTCTCTTCTTATTACTATCTTATTCTCTTCTACATTTTTGTAACTTCATAATGTCTTCTTTCATTTTATTTACATACACCTCAGCCTCTATACATCTCTTTCATTTACCCTCCTCCTCACTTTGCCTCTTTTTCTCTTTCTTATTTTCCCCTCTCTTTCTGTTTTCATGAATCTCAACCATTCTCTCTTTCTTCTTATTCTCTTCTACATTTTTGTAACTTCATAATGTTTTCTTTCATTTTATTTACATACACCTCAGCCTCTATACATCTCTTTCATTTACCCTCCTCCTCACTTTGCCTCTTTTTCTCTTTCTTATTTTCCACTCTCTTTCTGTTTTCATGTATCTCAACCATTCTCTCTTTCTTCTTATTCTCTTCTACATTTTTGTAATTTCATGATGCCTTTTTCTCCACTAGCTTTTTTCTTTCATTTTATTTACATACACCTTGGACTTGGGCACCTCGGTTTGGTGTAAGGGTTAGCAATCTTGTCTTGCTAGATCAGTTACAACTGAAAAGTGAGTTCAGTCCTCACTAGGTGCTCCATATTTTCGGCCTTGTGCCACATCTAAGCTACACTTAGAAAATCACCATACACCTTGGACTCTATGTCTCTTTCATTTACCTTCCTCCTTACTGTACCTTTTTTTCTCTCTTTTCTATAATTCTCAATTTCTTTTTTTTTTATTTGGTCCCCTTTCCTATTGGTTAACCACAATGGCCATTAAATGGAATTATCAGATTGTTTTCCTTGTTGGTTTCATTCTTTGGGGATATTTTATCTTTTATAAAAATGAAAAAGAAAAGATTTCAATTTAATTTGTTTGAAAAAAAAGTACTGGTAATTCTATTATGTTATTTTTCTGGCTATTATCAAATCCTATTTGCTGAGTTTTGAGGATTTGGGTTTTTTCCACTACATTGACATTAATGTTACTTTTTCCTAAATAATATTTAAACAGTTATGGTTGGATAATCTCCCGATCTTTCTTAAATCTGTTCTGACAAAGATAATAATTCATTTATTTAAAATGTCATGTTATCGTCACACATTCCCCAATCATGCAGGGATGCAAATTTGTCAACAACAAAGATGAGACCACAAGATTTCCCATAATTCTCTTTAGATACTTTTCAATCAAATTGAATATAGTAAGCTCAAAGTTCATTTGGTAAAGTTATTTTTTATTTTGAAGCATTTTAAGTTGATGCATTTGTTCAGCTAATTCTTTCAGAATTAGTAATAATTTCCCAATCAGGCATGTATTAGGGTGTATGAAAGATATCTTTCTTTTTACAGACATTTAATGTACACATTTAAAAACTATGACTTCACTATATTATTAGTATTATTGTATTATAATTCTGCTTGTTCTTTGTTAGTTGGCACATATGTTATACCCATGGCTTTGAGTGAGGGTTTTGGCAAAGACCTTCTTTCTTGTGGAGTGGTGCTACAGAAACACAAAGAACCATACCAAGTAGCAAAAGTTACATCACTTAAGAACTTTCAACAGTAGCAACAACTAAAATTGTAACGCAAAGAGAAAATAATGACATAATCAAAAATTTAGCATTCTACATTACTTCAAAATAAAGGTTAGGAAGGAAACCCCCATCAATACTGGAAACTCTGATAATACTTACTGTACTTAAGAAACTTATTTCATGAAAATATATTCTAAGAGAAAGATTTTATAAATTTCAACTGAAAGTAGTACTGGCTGCTTGGTCAATGAATATCAAATATTTCCTTGTAAAGAAAAAGCTAATATTACTATTGGATATCTCCTGGACTACTCTCTTTTGATCATAAGAAAAGACATATCAGAGAAGCTGTTTGGTTTCTGTAAAAAAAGGAAAGAAAAACATAGAGGATAGAGAAGGTGATCCCACTAATGTTTTTAATGTCTGCTCCAAACAAATGGAAAAACCCAACTGTTAACTAATTCAGTTATCCCCCCCCCAAGCTTAATGGATTGTTCCAAGCAGCAACAACAGCAGGCTTGTCTCCCTTTCATCCAACAGGCATTTGCCCAATGAACTAAATATGAGCTAGTTCAAATTTCTTTTTCTCAGTTTAACTTCTGATTCCTGGGGAATTTTTGGAATTTTCTCAGGTATTCTATAGTCATAGAACTCAAAAAGAGGTTAGACAATCATTAACTTACAAATTATAATTCATCAGAAAATTTAAATAGCAAGACTGAATTATTTCTGGGCACTACTACTTATAATTATTATATTTTGGGGGTGAATCAAAGGTATTTTCATTTTTAAAGACCTTTCTTCCAAAGTTTATTTTTATATAAAATTTATATAAAAGCCAATGAGAATTATTACTATGATGTTTTTTTTTATTGCTTTGTTTAGTAAAAGGTGACAGAAGATAGTGAAGTGGGAAAAAAGGATTTAACCTTAAATGTATGAAGACAGAATGCATGGTTGTTAGCAAAAGGAACAGCCCAGTATGCAAATTACAAATGGGAGATACCAAAATCAAACCAGTACAACAATTTAAATATCTGGGAAGTGTTTTAACAAAGGAAGGAAAGTGTGACACTTAAATTCAAAGGCACTTTAGAATAGTGAAAGATGTCTTTCAAAAGCTTTTAGAAACGTTTTCCTATTTCTTAATACTTTGCTTATCTCTTTCACTATCTCAGTCTAATCTAATAAAATTTTTCTGTTTCTTTATGCTCTCTTCTATTTACCAAAATAAAATATAGTCTTGTATCAGAACTTGTAATAGATAGTTTGATATAAGTATTCAAATATTCAAAGTATCAGTTTTATGGACTTGTTTTTCTTTCTCACTCTCTCTCTTTACTTTACTGCATTTGCGTCATATGCATGCCAAATTCTAAAAATCCTACTCAACTTTTTTCTATTTCTTGTGTAAATCTTCCCTCCTAAGCTGTCATTATACCCCAGCAGAATTTTACTCATTTAGGACATAAGATTCCTCTGCAAATTAAAAACAAAATGAAGGAATCAACAAAAAATTAACCAATGAAAATCATACCCTAAAATAATAAATAAAAGAAAAGAAATCCACTGTCTCCTACCAAAAGATAAAAATGAAATAAACTGAAAATATTCTCTTTTCTTTTACAGTCCCTTCTTTCACAAGCCATTCCAGGCAAAGGAATCAAGCAAGATGATACAAGAAACAGAGGTTTATATCTGAACCCTTCACCATTATTAAGAACTAAGTAAAAGTGACCTGTGACCCTTTGGAGACAGGCTGGCATGCTACAATTGCTCAAGCATTATATGGACTAACATAAAACTTAGAATAAGTTAAAGTGATTTTGAGCTGAATTACTGTAGTAATTATAAACTTTCACATAGACTTAAAAAATACTCCATTTGTGAGTGAGAGTGTATGTATATATATATATATATATATATATATATATTTGAAAATTTTATTGCTAGTACAAAATTTTATAACCGCCATGAAGTGACACAACTTTTTTAATAATACTAATGATGGACAGTTAAAAGGGAAAAATGAATAAAAGGGCTAAATCAAGGTTAATATATAAGTATTTTTACCATTCAATTTTATTGATGATTTATACTTATATATTAACCTTGATTTACCTCTGTTGAGCAATATTTGAAAACAGTTAGCTAGCCCTATTTTCATCTTATCCTTTTAATTGTGCATGATGAGTATTATATATATATATATATATATATATATTTGTGTATGTGAGATTATATAATGGATAGTGTCCTGGAATGAGAAGTGAGAGAGTCAATAGTAAATATAAATATAAATTCATCACTTCTTCTCCTCAGCTATGGGGTAAATAGCAGGGCAGATATAACCTTGGTTGGCAACCAGTCTACAAGAATGTGAACTCTGGATTAAAAACCAGGGTAGTTTGGAGACTTGTGGCACACTATGTGTACCAGTTCTCTGCATGTGGTTCTTCCAAAAAGTGTGGTTGGTTCTGCATAAGATTTTAATCAAATTATAAGAACTACACAACTGGACCTTCAACTACGACTTCTAGACAACTTCAGAATCTTCTGGATGGTCTCCTTGTTTAAGTTGGTGAATGCTGCCATAATCCTTGACTTCAGTTCATCTTTGGTGTTACAAGAAGTTTTGCTGGTCTTTTGCTCAACTGCAGCTGATTCATAATAATCAAGAGGATTGCCATCTGGGGAGTTAGGTGGCCAGATGTAAGGGGTGATGACGTTGCATAAATTGTCTGATAGCCATGACTGGGTTCTCCTGCTTATGTGGCATGGTGCAGAGTTCTGTTGCCAGACATAGGTTTTTCCAGCAGCCACCCTCTTGACTCAGGGCAACACTACCTGTTCATGGCACTTGATGTAGGCCTCTGAGACCTTGTGGGAAGATGAATAGAGGTGTAAATATCGCCATCACTAGTGATCACTCCAAACATCTTTGTAATCACAATTAGACTCATCTAACATTTTCTGAATCCTCTGCACTGTCCTCAGATCGACAACCAAACACTGTGAAATATTTGTATTGAAGTTTCCAGTGTGAATGCCAAGCAGTACAGCATGCCATTTTCAAATTTCTGGCAGAGTGAATTGCATCATAGTCCTCTTATTCTTACATATAGTGCCCAACTGACCCTACTATACTGTACAGTTGACAAAATCAAAAACAATCAGTGTGTATGTGCAAAATTAGATATATAAAATGGCAACAATTTACTCATTGCACTCTGTGTGCGTGTGTGTGTGTGTATATATGTTTCACAATTTTTCCATTTTAATGGATAAAGTATGAATTTAACTTGAAAGAACATGCTCATAAACACAAAAAGATAGTATATATTTACATATGCGTATATATAGTTATATACATTCATACCTACAGCTACACACACACACACACACATATATATATATATATATATATATATACACATATACACATATATATATTGATTTATTTGTGTAAGTATATATAAGTACATAAACATTTATAAAAGATAAATCTTTTGAAGTTTTCCTTATGTATTAACTATTTTATTCTTATGTATGCCATGTCCCTTCAGGCCGTGAGCGATCATGGCTCTCCACATCTCTTTACTCTAATCTTCATTGTCTGTTCACCCATCTACATAATCAATCTCATTCTGTTCCCCCCTTTGTCTCTTTTACCTTCGATATGTCCTGACATTCTAAATTTTCCAAGTTCTTTATCCTTCTTATGTCACCCAGGAATTTCAATTGTCTTTTTTTTTCTGATTTAATGTATGACTAATATTTAGTTTTCATTTGCCTTAAAGCATCCTTGTTGCTTATCTCATCTGTCCATGGTATTGTCAGCATCCTTCTGTAGAACCACATTTCTGTTCAAGTTCATTCAATACAAGGCCCAAAAGCCACTCCAGATAGAAGGTAAAAGATGGCAAGAAGTGAAGTTCATGTGGTTATGCAGAAAAGACAAGTTTTAACCCTAAACTTAAAGATTAGGAAAACATCTCGCCGGTAGTCTGTTCTACAATGCAGCAGTTCTTGGGAAGAAGTGTCCAAGTGGAATTTATTTCTTACTCACGGAATACAAAGTGAATGGGAATAATTCATACTAGTGTATGTGGCATGGTTGTTCCCAGTTGTAAAGGTCAGGGTTGTGAGGATATTGTCCAACATTCACTACCATATACGTGGGCCAATATTTCATAATAGTTGTACTTTTTCTTTGTTTCCAACAACATTTTCCTATTTCATAATACTTTGCTTAGCTTTTACAAGACAATTTTTGCTATCCCAATGCACTTTTAAATTTTGTTATCACATTTTCATTATCTGTTAAAACATTTACTAGGTATTTTTGGACTCACTTCATTTTGACATCTCCAGTTCATACTTTGCATTTTTTTAATCTGTTTCTTTTGTTGACAACCATACATTCTGTCTTCTTACAATTCATGTTTAGTCCTTTCTTCTTGCTTTCCTTCACTACCATCTGTAGGAGTTTCTGTCATTTTCTTTTCTGTGTCTGCTATCAACAGTGTGTTATCTACATATTTAATGTTGTTAAGATTGTGACCAACAATAATCAATGCTGGTAGGACTTTTAATTCTCTCAGAATCATCACACCTGTATAGGTTGTGAATATATCTGGTGAGAATAAATATTTTTGTCTTAAACCATTTTTTATCTGTTTGCAGGCAGATTGCTCCCAGTTCTGGATTATTCTAATATCTTTCCCAAATAAATCAAGCTTACTCAGCAGTTCAAGTAGTTTTTTGTGATATACTTTATTAAATACCTTTGCATAATCTATAAAATATGGGTATAATTTCTTATGTATTTATATTACTCTTTCTGTTATCATTCTGAGCATAAATATCAAATTTCTTGTTCTAGCGTCTGTAACAAAACAGCACTGTTCTTGTTCTATTTGGGGTCTAATCCTGCTACATGCTCTATTCATCAGAATATGTTTTGATATGTCACTCATTATGCTGATAGTCTGCTGGAGTTCCCATTCATTTGCACCTGGCTTCTTAGACAGTGCTAGGAAAATGGATCTACTGAAGTTTTCCTGCATATCACCATTGTTGTATATTTCATTTATTACATCTCAAGAAAGGAAACATGTCACCTGTGTTGATATGCAGACTTATTTTCTTGCAAAATAGAATAAGTTTATTCTTCATTGGAAAACTTTACATAATTGTAAAAATATCTAGACAGAAGTAAAAATAATGTTCCTGCCTTCTTCATCTTTAAAGATGTAGGTAACCATGGCTCTCCACAGCTTCCTATCCTTTGTACCTTTAAACAGTGTTTATTCCCTTACTATCCCTTTCCTAACACGCATTTACAAAAGATAGGTATGTTATTCGCCGTTTCCCTCCATCCCTTTTGCCTTCAATATGTTCTGTGAATTTCAAATTCTCCAAGCCTTTTTTCCTCATTATGTGTCCTGGAAATATCTAACACGTCTTTATGATTCTAAATAAATCTTTATGTTCCCATTCCGTCACTCACTTGTTCCATCCATGGCATTCTCAGTATTCTCCTCTAGAATCATATGTCTAAAAAGCTTAAATCAAGACAAGAAGCAAATTATAATATCAGTGAAAATATATATATATATATATATATATATATATATATATATAACAGTGACAGTCTGTTTCATGCTTAAATGTAAGTCTGAAGATTGTTACTGATAGGTGTTGATCTCAATGTCTACTTTTATATTTACATATGCTCTTTTGCTGACATTGAGGACTTTAACCAATGAATATAGCATACCTTAAAACTATATTTTTATCAAACATTCTAGGATTAAACAGGAATTTAAGTGCACTCAAAGAATATAGTTTCCACTGAAAGCCTTCTACAAACACCTTACAACCCTAAATGTGACAAAAAAACTATCATATTTCTTCAGTAATATAACACATGCAGCAAAAAAAATATCCCCAGAAAAGAAAGTCCCACTTCACTTTTATTTTTTGTCTTGTTGAGAAAGAACACAGGCTGTCCTGGATATGATAATAAACTACATCTAGCAGCAAGACCTGTTTGTTTTGGGGTTCCCTATTTGCCCATAGCTGGAACCCTAACAGGTGCTACCACCCCAGGTCAGGGAACAACAACAATTAAGAGTTAGTTCCATGCCCCTCAAAACCTCCAATCTCCCGATCAGCAGCCTTGTTGCAGGATGTACCTTATCATCATACCTAGGATTATATATTAAAAAGAATTATATATTTGTTCCTCAGTGTTCAATTCTACTTAAAGTTTTATGCATATAGCAATCATCAGGTACAAACTATATGCATGAAACTTTAAGTAGTATTGAGCAATGAAGGATGCAAAAAATATATAATTCTTCTTCAAATAAATTTTAGCTCTATTATTTTGCATTGATCACTGTTTTATACTAGCACTCACTGCACACTGTTTTATATTCATACACACACATACACTTATATATATATATATATATATATATATATATATATTTTAGATAGAACGATTGAGCGTGTGTAATGAAAGACTTAATAGGCTAATGATAATCCAATAATCTGCTAGAATACTTACTGAGATGAAGCTTTAAAAAATGAAAATTTAATCTTAAAGGTGTAGAGAGGGAGGCATGAAAACACTTTCCACAGTGAAGATGTGGTTGAAAGATGGAAACTGTAAAAGAAATATATAAAATAAAAATAGAATGTAAATTGAAAAATGCAAAAAAAAAAAAAAATAAAAGGTAGAAAGAAGGGGAAGAGAAAAAACAGGAGTGAAGTGGGTAAGAAAAGCAGAAAGGGTGGAAATTTATGAGTTGTGGTTGGGGTAATGTTAAGGGTATTGGTGAGAATAAAAAGGCTTTGAATAGATGTTGCACTAATTGACACTAACACTGCTTTTTTTTTAAATTTTGATCAGATTTTGACTTCTAAAATATGAACACTTTTTCTTCATATCTGCTTCTGTTATCATTTCAATGTTTTTAGTTTTTATTCTCTTTTGAAGCCTTCTTTCTCTCTTATGGTTCTTCTATTATTTTTCTATTATTTATTTTTAGTTTTTTTCTTCTATTCTTTTTCTCTTTTTCTTCCATGCTTTTTCTCTAGCTTTTTTCATGTATTCTTTTCTCCAAGATTTCTTGTTTCTTTCTCTAGTTTTTCTTGTTCCTTTTATCCAGTTTTTTGGTTTCTTTTCTCCAAGATTTCTTGTTTCTTTCTCTAGTTTTTCTTCTGTTTATTTTCTCTAGTTTCTTTTCCTATTTATTTCCTATAGTTTTTTCTTCTAATCATTTTCTATATTTTTTCTTCTTTTCATTTCCTATAGTTTTTCTTCTATTCTTTTTTCTCTATTTTTTTCCTTTTGCTCTTTTATTCTTTTTCAGTTAATTTTCCTTCTGTTGTTTTTTTTTTGTTCTTTTCTTTAAATTTTTGTTCTATTTTTGTTCTTTTTTTCTCTAGATTTTTTTTCATATTCACTTTTGTCCATTTATTCCTCTATTTATTTTCTATAGTTTTCCTTTTATTCCTTTTCGTCATTTTTTTCTATTCTTTTTCTCTTTATTTTTTTCTTTTTTTCTAATTCTTTCTTTTCTTTTTCTCCTATTCTTTATTAGTTTTTTTTTCTATTCCTTTTCTCAAGTTTTTCTATTATTCTTTCTCTCTCATATTTTTCTGATCTTTCTAGTTTTTACTTTTATTTTTTATTTATTTCTTTTTCCAATAATTTCTTCTTCTGTTTTTCTTTATTTTTTTACATATATTTTTATCCCTTTGTTTATTTTTTTTTTTTTCCTCTTCGGAATTATTTTTTTCTAATTTTTTCTATCTTCTCCAATGTAAATTCTAAATCCTCTCCTTTCCTCTTCTTTGTTTCTTTCTTATTCTAATATTTTTATATATACTTTTCAATTTATTTCCTTTTCCCCTTTCTTTTATTAGACTTTCCTCTCTCTACATTTTTTTTTAAAAACAGCTGGCATCATCTTGTGAGATGGTGAAAAGAGTAGGAGGGTATATCCTTTGCCAATAACTTACATCTTTGATACCCATCAAATTGAAGAACAAGAGGTTGGTATGATGCAGGGACAGAAAGAAGACTGATTGTGTGGGGGTAAAATGATTAGAGCTGGGTGCCTTTGGTACCTCTTGGAAAAGGAATCCTAAAAGTACATTTCAGTCTCAAAGAAGCAGCTGCTTTGATTATATTTTTGCATCTGGCACTATATTCCATGAATAATGGTTGGCTATCGTTGTCCTACAAGAGTTAGCCTGATTTTTACTCATTACCTTGCAGATATCACAGAGGATTAACTGGAAAGGTCATTCATGAATTGCTGCTGCCATGGATAGATATGTTGTTTTACTGATGCACAGAATTAACTGCCAACAGATATTTATTTAATAAAGTGTTTCTTATCATATGGCAGAGGTTTAATAATAGAAGTATACTTTAGCATTCTGGGTAATTGTTTTCAACCTTTTGCTCATCAATTGTCCCATGAAATACTTACAAATTTAAGGTTTTCATCATATTTGGGTAAGGGAAGATAACTCAATACCTACTTAAAGGTTGAACTAAGCCAACAGGTAAAAGATCTTATTCTATGTGTCATTTTACTTCAGGATGTGGGCCATCAGACTTCTCTACAACCTTGTATGCTTTGTAGTTTTTAGTAAGGTTTCAACATAACTTGCACTTCCTGAAATATCATCTATTTACACAAGCTTGTTACATTGGTTACTCACTGTTCCTTTCTTCCTTCTTGCCTTCAATATATCCTGTAAGTAACAAATTCTCCAAGCACTGTTTCCTCATTATGTGTCCTGGAAAATTCTCTTTCTGATTCTAAGTATGGACATCTTTTTTGCTTCCATTTTCCTTAAAATGTACTCATTGATCCCAAGTTCAGTCTTTGGTATTCTCATCATGTTTCTGTAGAACCACAGTTCTGTTGCCTTATTTTCATCTGTGAGGAGATTGTCCAGCATTCACTACCATATAGGAGGACTGATAGGATATAACAGTTAAGTACTCATTTCTTCGTTTATAACAGGATTTTCCTGTTTCTTAATAATTTGCTTAACTTTAGGAAGGCGTCTTTTTCTATCCCAATGGGCTTTTAGATACAAATGTCTAAAAAAAAAGAGAATTACTTTATTAAATTTTATAAAAGTTAACAGTGGGGTCCAGTATCAATAATTTTTTTCTATTTTCTTTAAAACTTCCTTGTTACTCACAAGTTCAGCCTATAGTATTCTTGGCATCTTTTTGTAGTCTCAAGACTCTTCTTTATCTATGAGAAGATTGTCCAGCATTTACTGCAATATACGATCACTGATATATTCAGTAATATTTTCTTTGTTTCTAATGAAATTCCCCAATGTCTTAATACTTTTAATATCTCTATGTGCCTTCAAATTTCAATGTCAGCTTTTTCCATCCTTTGTTAAAACACTCTTCAGATATTGAAATTTTTGCGCTTGCTTGATTTAGGTATCTTCAATTTGTAATTTGCATGTTTAGCTGTTCCTTTTGCTGACAGTCATGCATTCTATCTTCTTACAATTGATGATTAGTCCTTTCTTCTCACTTTCCTTGACTACCTTCTGTAAGAGTTCCTGTAGTTTCATTTCTATGTCTACTATCAATACTTTGGCATCTGCATACCTTATATTGTTAAAATTTTAGCCACCTACAACACATGATCATAAAATATTAAACTAGCATATATCAGATAAAGGTATTTAAGACACTCAAATTTTTTGTCTTCAAAAATTGTCCCCCAGTTTTTATATACAGCGTTTTCATATAAAGTTGACTCATGATTATTCAAGACTACTAAATAATCAGAAAAAAATCAACATAAGTTGACTATTTTTTATAATACCTCGTTTTATAATACTGAAATAATATTAAATATAAATAGAGCTTATTGATATATCATGTTGAAACACTGAAGCAATCACTGAAGTTAAAAACTGTAGAGGTAATACGTTGTATAGATTCCTGTAATTATTTAGTCTGGGTGGCGTGATTAGGTCATATTGACAGCTGATCTAAAAATGACCTACAATCTGTTGTTAAATGGGACAAGGAGTGGTTTGTTAATTTTAACACTTAAAAAAAAGAAACTGCTCTTTTTACTCATCTAAGAGAACCCTTTTTAATTTCACTCAGTATGGCTGATGCTAATCTCCAGGAGAGTGACTCATTGCGCCTTCTCAGAATGTAGAGATTATGAGAATAAGGAAGATAGATAATGATTGAACCTTTATTTAAGAAGTTTAATATTGAAATATTCAGAGAAGCATCCATGTAGGAGTCTGTTTCACAAAGTATCAGTTCTTGGGGAAAAAGCTGAGTGGAACTTTTTACTTAGATTTGGAGTATGGAAGAAATGAGGGTGATTCAACTCCATGAAAGCAACATGGTAGGCCCTAGTTTTAAATGTCTGAACTGGAGAAACTGAAAAATGAAGTTCATCTGAACAATTGTCACGGAAATTGCAATAGAATCACAATAGGCTCGTCCCTGAAAAATAAGCTACAGAATGGAGAAGAAGATGTATCTTACATGAGCATGTAAAATAATTTTGAATTCTATTAAAGCTGGAAAATGTCATTTAAGCAGATTCAGCAGTATTCCAGTCTTGGTCTAATCTGACTGTCATAAAGATGAAGCATGAAAGAAGTGCTTCCTAGAGCAAGAGAATTAACAAACTATTTTTCAAGCATTCCATCTTTGAAAGAATGCATGCATACCAACCTCACAGGATGTTTTCTTAGTCATGTATGGAGGGCTTCATTCACTTCAGCTTCATCAGAGAATGACTGAATGATTCTTCATAGAATTGTTATCTTCCCCACATATCCTTATAAACTGTGCCTCTTACTCTCTACCTTGAGTGGCTCTTTGGTTTTGTACTGAGTGAACATTGTAAAAAAAAGGAAGGTTTGTCACTGAATGACCCAAGTAACTGAGAGTCTAAGGGTGCCAGATCGGGATTGTATGGTAGATGATGATCTTGTCAACTTTTGCACTGTAGTTGGTGAACTAATTTTTTTACCTAGTATGAAACCATGCATTGTTATATTGTAAAAGCACTTCAGTCATCTTCAAATGTAGACTAGCTTGAAGTAATGCAGCCTTTTCTTAAACCTCTGTGACATTCTCTTTTCAAAATCAGGAATTCTGTCACAGCTATTTACTTTCTCTGTATATCCAGAGGGGAAGACATTTTGAAAAAGGATAATGGGTGGGAAGAGTGAAGGTAACTCTACAATTTTTTCTTCTGGGCTTCTGGTCACCTTATGATTTATGGCTAAAACCCTTAGGAATTAGGACTAATATATTTAAAATTAAATTAGAACAAGCATTACTTTTTGACCAACCCTCGTAGATTGAAAAACTCAAATGCCAAATGATTAATGGGCATACTATTTATGGGTAAAAAAAATTGTAATGTCTTATAATTGAGTTTTCTCTGAATTGTTGATACTTGGATAAAGGCATGATGGAGTAATAGAGATCAGCTCAGATTAAGAAATCAGAGAGCCAAGTTCGAATCCCAGTCAAGTTTGTTAAATTCACTTACATGCAAATACCCTTGAGAAAGATATGAACCAATCTCTTCTCCTAACAGCTATGGGTTTATAGCCATTGGTGGAAACCAGTCTAAAAAACTCTGAACTCCAAACCTCCAAATATGGGTTAAATAAAATAGCCCCACCAAACTACAATTGACCAAGTGTGGTTTTACACCTTGAAGTCAATCAGTGATAGGTTCCTCCACTTGGATTAAATAAATCTGTTGCATCAAAAACATTAAGACTAGCTTATAGTAGTCAAAATAGCCTCACCAACCTACAATTGGCCAAATGTGGTTCTGCACCTTGAAGTCAATCAGTGATGGGTTTCTCCATTTGGATTGGATACATCTATCTTAGAGTAGTCAAAAGAGAAACAAATCATTAATGCTTTTTTAGTTGAATTTTTCAATAACTGTAATAATAACGAAATGAAGATCAGAAAAGTAATAAGGGAAACATGGCTATATACTGGGGGGAACACACTAAATCCATCTTTGTAACATTACCTAAGAGACCAGGTGCAAACAAATGCAGACTCATAAGACAATCAATTTAAAAAGCCACATAACCAAACTAATAATGCCAATCCTGATGAATAGAGCATGAAACTGAATTAGATTGGAAATAGGACAAGAACAGTACACTGGACCAAGAAATGAAATATTCATGATAAGAATTATATTAGAGAGAGCAATATAAGTGCAGAAGGATGTATACCTGTGTTTTATAAATTATGCAAAATCATTCCTTAATGTACACCAAGAAGAAGTGTTGGAACTGCTAAGTAATGTTGATGTATTTGGAAAGGAGATTAGAATAATCCAGGACCTAACCACCTGAATATGGATAGAAAATGAGTTCAGTAAATATACAAATATGAAAAGGATGTATCTTCTCACTGAACAGTGAGGTGATTCTAAGAGAATTAAATGCCCTACCAGGATTTATCATTGGTGGCCACAGTCTTAACAACATAAGATATGCAGATGACACAGTATTAATAGTATTCATAGAAAGGAAATGGCAAGAATTACAGAAGGCAGTGAAGGAAAGTGAAAAAAAAAAACAAACTAGGCATCAATTGCAAAAAGATAGAATGCCTGCCTGTATTATGTAAGTTAGAAATTGGAGATACTAAAATTAAACAAGTAAGAAAATTTAAATATCTAAACAGAGGAAGGAAAGTCTGACACTGAAATCCAAAAGCTTATTGGGATTGTGAAAGA